TCAAAAAACACTCACACGCAACAAATAAGCTTTTGGTATTAATTTAGCCACATAGCCGACAAAAAATGGGATGACGCCCATTGAGCCGAAAAAAATGCCCTGAGAAATTGTTGTCATAAAAGTTTGAGAGATTAAGTTTTCAAACTTTAAAATCTTTCAACAAAAACTACTGAAAATTTTTGCCTTTGAAGCAACTCAAAATAAAGTAACTAAACCGATAAACCAAGTAAAAATAAAAGCTTTTTAGCGGAAAAATGAAAACCAAGGAAAATATACAACGTCGAGACTATTAAATTCACAAATAACAGGAGTAAATTAAAACTATTTGTATCTACGATGAAAATTGCTGTCAGCACAAGAAAATTCCCGAAAGTTATCTAGCGGTAACAAAGCCGGAAATACCTTAGCAGAATCCCTTTAGGCCGAAAATTTAAAAAAAATCAAGTCCCCCACACCCTCAAATAAGCAAACACACACACACACACACACACACACAAACACACACAAACATTATTCACGCAAAAAGAATTTGAGACTAATATCAAGTTAATTAGTCCCCCTCACACTCAAAACATATACACAGCTCTTGGAACGACGCAATATGAGGTGACTGAGCTGACGTAATAAAGGCCGAAATCTATCAAGACGAAAAAAAAGGAAAGATAAAACACAAAAAAAAATCAAAAATTTGTGAAGAGAAATAAGAAGTTATGAAGTCCCCCTCCCCCTCAAAACACAGACACGCACACACAAATTTTTTTCACCTATCGGAAAAAGCCGTTGTCATGAAAAACTTGAACAATAATTTCTATTAAAACTTTTAGCATTTTGGAGCGATCCAGAGGTGAGCTTAAAAATATTGCTTCCCTTGAAAATACTCAAAATTAAGCCAGTAAGCCGATATGAAATAAGCCCAATCCTATTAAGCCGAAAAAAGGACACGAAAAAAAAACAAAAAACAAAATTTTAACATAGGCCAAGCTGAGCTTCGCACAAATTGCGATACAGCACAAAAAAAATCGATTAACGAAAATGTCAGAAAAACCAGATCTATAATATCAAGGTTTATAAGACATGCAAAAAACATGCCAAGACAATAGAATGTGGAACTAGCATCGGAACATAATTTACCAAACGGTAACAAATCTCTTGGTAGAAAACTTTTGAGCCGAAAAAAAAACTTTTGAAAATTTTTGAGCCGAACAAGATTTGAGATTTATGAAAAATCCCACTCGCCCTCAAAGCACTCAAAAAAATTATTTGCTTGTCAAATGGTACATTAAGAGACAACTAAGCCGATATAATATAACGCGAAACCTATTAAGCCCCAAAAAAAGGAAAACAAAAAACTGAAAACAAAGAAAGACTAATAAGCAGTTATTAAGCCCATCTCGCCCTCAAAACCATACAAACACACTTTATTCCGCTCGTCGATGAACTCATAATGAGCCCGATAAGCCGATATTATATAGCCCAAAACTTAATAAGCCCAAAAAAAAGGAAAATAAGAAAAATAGAAAAACAAGAAAGACTAATAGGAAGTTATTAAGCCCCCTCGCTCTAAAACACAGACACACACAAATAAACTTTTTTCCTCATCGATGGACGCAATATGAGGCCGATAAACCGATCTTATTTAGGCCTAAACCTATCAAGCCGAAACAAAAAGGAAAAAATAGATAAAAAATTGTCATGAAAAATTTGAATTATATTTCTATTAAGATATTTATCATTTTGAGCACTCCAGAGGTAAGCAAAAAATATACGTTTCATTTGAAACCACTCAAATTTGGGCCAATAAGTAGATAAAATACAGGTTGAAATCATTTGTGCAGAATAAAGTTTTTAATCGAAAAAAAAAGTAATATATACGATGTCAAGGTTTAAAAAAAATTACAAACAAACAGCAGAGGTGAACCAGTACACCTATAAAGAATCTGTAATGAAATAAAGCATCTAAAAAATTTTAAAAAACCAAACAAGCGATAGGTTGGATGGTAAAAAAAAAGCGGAAACTAAGCCAACAAAAAGTAAACCGAAATATCATAAAAATTCGAACAGCGAATTTATCGGAAAAACACTAAAAAGGATGCACAGTGAGATTAATAGATCAATGAGCGCAAATACGCACATACGGAATGCATGTGCATGCACGTCGTGTCGTGTATTGCATGCAGGCTGAAATCTGTGGACAAAGTTGTTTACGGGAAAAACGTCTAGTTCCCGATTGCAATACCGTTGCTATCGCAAGGTAATCAAATGCTTTCAAAATTTGAAAAACTTACATCAACATATTTTCACATGTTTGTTTAGATTGATGTTAAATTTGAAGGAAACATACCGAGAAACACAATTGCCAGCGTCAAAAAAGCGCAAATTGCCGCTCGGAAAACATAAAAACAAAAATCAGCTAATCCACTAATAAATATACTAATATAATACAAAAATAAATGGAAATTACTTATATATATTGAATCACTGCTTAACAATAATCTCAAAAAACTTTTCAGCAAACTCAAAAGTTTCAATGATTGCTGAACGAAATCTGGCATAACCTGGTCAGATTCGAACTCAAGACCTTGGTCGTCGCAAGCATAGACATTAAATTCCAATTAACTATACCTAAATCGATGTAAGTTGTAAGAATATTCGGGTCATTCAAAACATTTTTATACAACTTTTCGCTCTCATCGCTAAAAATAATCGCTGTTCCTACCAGTTAAAACCAAATTCTTGGTAAGTGGAAGAAATGAACTGAATATCATATGGCTGCAAAGCCGAAATAAAAAATACCATGATCTAAAAACATTTCAAAGTTAACCACGATCATAAATGAAATTAGTAGAGTCTATTTCGAAGTTAATTGTAACTACATGTCAGATCAATAGCAGCCAAAATACTGCAACTCATTTTTTGTTCGTACTCGTACACAAACACCCAAATTTCATGATGCTAATGGTAGGTCACTGTTATCTAGTTGCGACCCAGCAAATGAATCGCCAAAAAAACTATTCTTCTAATTTAATTCATCCAATTAAATCATGGCCACAATCATGGCTTGGGCAGCTGGCTCTGGCATGCCATGTCTACTCATGTAATGTTTCTTAAGGTCATGTTTGTACTTTGTAGAGTACTCACAAGTCCTGCAGTTGAACACAGTACTAGTTGGAAGATGTTTGCTCTCAATATGTCTTTTCATTGAATTGAGAAGCTTCGTCTCGGAGCCGCAATACGAGCATTTATACGACGTTTCATTAGTGGTCATATTTTGCATGACTGTCATTTGAGAACTCACGTCAATTTTTGGACCTAATGATGGAACTGAAACCTTGATTTGGGAAGCAACTGGAAGCAAATTAGAGCCTTAGTTTTGGATTTCTTAGAATCGCAGCCAGAACTCACATTGCCAGATGGTCTTTTTGGTTTTACTTTTGACGGATTTTGTAAGTCACTATTCAAAACTTGGTCCTTTGCTCTGACAGAATCGATTATGATGTTTCCGAATAGTTTTTGCGTAACTTGATCAATTATTTCTCCGGTGACTGAAAAATGAGGTAACGAATAGCTTTTGAGCATATCTTCAGCGAAACTCAATCGGACGGATTCCATTTATGAACAGGTAATCTGAAACTCTTGCGCTTTCAATGGGTTGTGTTAAATTCCACATACAGACAAATAATTCAATCATTCTAAAACGCTTTAATTTTGAAAAAAGATTGAGGCTTCTTGGATTTTTGCACGAAGAAAACTTCAAAATTAAAATACAAAATGCAATACGACCTTTCTTTTTTGAGTATCATAATAAAAAAGTATGCCTAAAACCAGAATCCGAATACATGAACGACAAATAAAAATTACACAAAGGCCAACGAATCAAGGAATAGGTATATTTCTGAAGAAAACAACAACAACTAACAAGCTCCTGCTCGAACAAACTCTGCATGGGTGATGTTGTTCCGATTCGATACTTGAGATCCAACCGGGATCGCTTTAACTATCCTCTCTTTGGTGCCACTTTAGTGACGAATTGCCACCCCTATAATGAAACAATTCAACGGTTCAGCATCAGTCATTTTCGTACCTGGTAAAGAATCTCCCCTCCCCCTTTAGCAAAAAGGGGGGGGGGATAGTTAAAGAGATCCTCTAACCGAATATGTTTAGCTTCCTCGTCCTCGTGATTGTCCTTGAGGAGTTGCGGTATTTTTGCTCTTGACATGTCTTTGCAAATTTCCCTGTAGTTGGTACTATAATAACAATGTGGACACTTAAAAACAGGAGTTGTATTCGACATCTGTTTGGTCCTAATGTGACGTTTCATCGACTTCAAGAGTTTCACTTCATTTCCACAGATTGTACACCTGTAATCAGTCTCGTTGGTGGCCATATTCTGAACAATGGTCATCAAGTACTTCAAGTCTACCTTTTCTGATTCTGACTTTTCCTCTTCTGAACTCGTAAACTCTTCCTCGCTATTCAGATTTATTTCTGTCTTCTTTGCGTCCTCTTACCATTGTCCCTTAACTCATTCCAAGTTCTTTTCTTACCTATTGAAGGGTCCGAAAATACCAATTTAGCACGCGGTTGAACCGACTTGAATACAATTAAGCCCAAGTACGAATTGCTGAAGTTGGAAACTATTTTGTTTTAGGAGTAAAAAGATTCGGCGTAAAAAACTGAGAGAATATTTTCAGTTAAAAACAGTTCGACTTGCACAGAATTTGAATCCATAAGACTCATCTAAAACTCACTGCCACTTAATAATTTAACTTTTAGTCAAACTCAATTACACATACAGCTTTTGGACACTACATATATCAAAAAACTGAACTAATCGTAGCAAATGCTTAAAATAACACTCGTAATTTCAATGAGGGAATGTCATGCTAAATGACTTTCGATTGTTTAAGTTTATCTGTATCTAATCCGACTGATAATCTTTCCTTAAAGAGATTCTGCAGCCTTGGACATAGCCCTAATTCGAACCTAGGCATTCTTTTAATTCAAAGAGCAAGCATCATTCCCTGTGCAGCCGGTTCCGGCATGCCATGTTTGGTCATGTAGTGTCGCTTCAAATTATTTTTCTGTTTGCAACTGTAATCACAATTCAGACACTTGAAATCAGGACTCGGCAGATGTTTTGTCTCTATATGTCGCTTCATACTACTTTGCGTTTTGATTTCTTCGCCACAAAAAGAACACCTGTAACTCTTTTCGTTTGTGGACATGTTTTGCATAACTGTCATCATGGAGCTAACATCTATTTTTGTTGCTGACCCTGTCGAAGTTTGCACAAAGGTTGAAGATGCATTTGCACTTGACACCAGAGGAATATCACTTACTTTGGATTTCTTTGCAGTCAAAATCAAACTAGGTGACATTTTTTTCTTCATGGGTTTCAGAATTGGGATTTGCTCAGCTTCAGAACCAAACAAAATCGTTCCCTGGCAAATTTCACCTGTTTCGTCAAAAATTTTATTCAGATGAGAATTTTTTTTGTCGTCCAAAATGTCAGCAAGGAAATCCGCAGCTAAATTCATGCAAACTCTTATATATTCTATTTTCGAACGAAATTCTGAAAAGCTAGGACAGAATTAAGTTGCACCCAAAACATTCTCAGCAAAACTTTGGGTGAGTTCAAAGGTTTCAGGAGAGCTCGAAAAGGAGAACAAATGGCGTACAAACTAATTTTTAATCTCAGCTAAACTTCATAAAGCATCAATTCACTTCGTAATTCTAGCCGGGGTTTCAACTAAAACATCGTATTTACAAGTACACTTAATTAACTCGGTTAAAATTAATTGGTATTCTAATACTCAGAATTGCCAAAACCTAAGACTAATATACTTCTAAAACGGGCAAAAAACAAGCGTCATAGAAAGAAAATCTAACTTTAGCACATCAAAGCGTAATTTGATTCAGAGAGCAAGCAGCATTCCCTGGGCGGCTGGCGCCGGCATGCCATGCTTGGTCATGTAATGGCGCTTTAAGTTATTCTTCAGCTTTGAACTGTACCCACAATTCAGACATTTGAAATCAGGACTTGGCAGATGCTTTATCTCTATGTGTCGCTTCATACTACTTTGTGCTTTATTTTCTTCACCACAAAATGAACATTTGTAACTTTTTTCGTTTGTGGACATGTTTTGCATAACTGTCATCATGGAACTCACGTCTATTTTCGTTGCTGCTCCTGTCGAAATTTGCACAACGGCCGAAGACGCATTAGTTGCTAGAGGAATAACACTTTTAGCTTTCTTTGCAGTCAAAGCCAAGCCAGGTAACAATTTTTTCTTCTGGGATTTCGGAGCTGGGATTCGCTCAGCTTCAGGAGCAAACAAAATCGTTCCCAGAAAACGCTCACAAGTTTCATCGACTATTTTGCAAAAAATTTTTTTTGGGCTTTCCAAAACTTCAACGAGCAAACCCTCAGCTAGATTCAGGCAAACTTTCATGGAATCCATTTGTAGTCAAAGCTCTGAAAACTAGGATAGCGCTAGAGTTAAATCCATTAGAAGTGATTGGAACAACACGCAAGCAATTTTTATTTAGAACTGCTATTCACCCCCACCCGGTGCTGGATCATATTTGCTAAATCATATTTCGGCCTAGCAACCCTTAAACTCTTCCAAGAGTTTCTTCGGCGCCAGCCGGGGAAAATATTATGAAAAGAAGCTTGCACAGAAATGCCAATGCAGCTGCAGTTAAGAAAAATTAAGCTTTTCATAATTTAAGAATGTTCAGGCAACTCAACAGAAAAGGATAGCTGACATAACTAAGTATTAATTCTAGGTCCAAATTCCTCATAACAAATTGCTTTACCATCAAACTCGCAACAACTCAACTGGGGCCTCGGAAATTAGACGACCGTAAAGAAACGGAATTTGGGGACAACCAGTATTTACTACTCAGCCAAAAGATAATTTAAGTCTGTAAAACAAGTTTCACGCAATTTCCACGCAAGTTATTGCCTAAATTCCGTTATTTTCTGATCGTCTAATTTGCTTGTCGTCTAAGTTGCTAAACCCCAACTTAACTACATTAGCGATCAATAACATAAGCTACAATCAGACAACTAGAGATACAAAACTATGTCTTCAATGAGTGTAAAAAATCATTTTCAAAACAGATCTATAGCATGAAGACATTCTAAATATGTTATTGCATAAATAAATCAGAGAATAAGCAGCATGCCCTGTACCGCTGGTTCCAGCATGCCATGTTTGGCCATATAATGGCGCTTCAAATTCGGCTTCTGTTTCGAATTGTAATCACAATTCAGGCATTTGAAATCAGGACTAGGCAAATGCTTTGTCTCTATATGCCTTCGCATATTTCCTTGCGCTTTAATTTCTTCGCCACAAAATGAACATTTGTAAACTTTTTCATTTGTGGACATGTTTTGCATTATTGTCATCATGGAACTTATGTCTATTTTTGTGGCTGACCCTGTCGAAGATTTCACAACGATTGGAGATGTAGTAACCATTGATATTGGAGACGCACATACTTTTGCTTTCTTTGCAGTTACAACTAAGCTAGGCGTCGATTTTTGCTTCAGACCTTTAGGAACTGGGATTTTACTAAGCTCACTAGCGAACAAAAGTGAGCCAAGAAAACGTTTGCCTGTTTCGTCTACAATTTTGTTGGTGAAATTTAATTTTTTGTCATCCAAAATCTCATGGATGAAATCCTCATCTAGACTCACACAAACTCTCACAGCTTCCATTTTCAGAAAAAATCTGAAAAGCTGAAACTAATTCAATCTTACCACAAAAATGAGACAAAGCCTCGGCAGGTTGGAAAACTTATCATGTAAAAACAGTACAAACAGGCATAAAAATTGTTTAAAAAATCCCTTTTTGGTGTTTCCGTATTTGGTATAACAGTGTAATGATTCCAATTCCTAGCAAAAACTGATTGCAAGGGGAGACTAGTGCATCACACAGGGAAAGAAACCCTTCGGGCTCTTTTTCCTCGACCCCCTATGATTTTTATCAGTAATTTTTCTGTCCACGTTGTCCGGAGGAAAAAGTCACCCATCTAAATTTATGCCAAGAGCATATGTTGACAAGATTTTGAAAAAATAACTAGCAACTCATAAAAACCCATATATTGGAAATAGAATTTGCATCCTTTGTAACAGAAAAACGTCACATCTCGGAAACTTACAGCATTTGAGCAGTCGCATTTCGGACGCAAAATGTGCAACATGAAACTTCTGAGAGTAGCCAACTACAACGTTGAGAATTTCGAAGCATGTGTACTTTTCAAAATCTAAGTTTTCCGAAAAATTAAAAAGAAATCATGAAACACGTCACATCTCGAAAGCTACAAGGATTTGAGCAGTCAAATTTGAAGATTCGAGATTCGCAACCCGTGAGACCCTGAGAGTATTTTCACAGCCCCCACTACAAAAAATGGAATTCAAATTCTTGAAGAAAAAAATTTAAATTTAAACTTTTTGAAATTTTTTTAAAAAATCACAACAAACGCCACATCTTGACAACTACAACGAACTGAGCAGTCATATTTGGAGATAAAACTCGCAAATCCGTGTAGTACCCTAAGATAGCCTCACTATAGAGATGAAATTTTCAAAATTTGTGAAATTTTCTATATCTAAGAACTTTGAAAAACCTTAACGTCATATCTCGAAAACTACAAGGATTTGATTATTCATACATGGAGGCCAAAAAGGCAACATCTGGGGAAGCCTTGAAAGCATATCACTGTTGGGTTGCTTAGTTCAAACGTGGTCAACTAAACACTGAATTCAAACTGGAAAATCAGAAAAAATCTTAACCATTGCAATGCTTAAACTTAAAAAAAATCTTTTGTTGAACATGCAAAAAAAATAAGTTGAAAACGCTTAAAAATGGCGAGATAGTTAAACCCGCATTTAAATGTATAATAGATAATAGATTAACCAAAAATGTCTCAACTCTTCAAGATATTGATGATGAAATGATGAAATTTAGTTTAAGAAAAATTGGCTTCAAGATAAAAATGATTATGCGATTGACGACCAACGTCAAAAGCGTTAGATGTAATTGTATCCCATTCAATTTTTACAAGCGACATTCATTTTAGTTGAATTCAAATCACAATTTACTTCAATTGCAGAACCAACTTTACCATTTCTTTATACTCGCAGATTTCGAAGACCTTCCTAGAAGCCAAGCTAAAGCCTAAAGAGTTTTGCTGCAGAAAACAACGAAAAAATTACTTTATTTTACACAAGCCAAACCGGATTTGCACCACTTATGTTTCACAACAAACATATCATGGCAAGCAAACCGAAAGGAAATGAGACAAAGCCACTGAATTTTTGTCTCGAATGATGTTCAATTTGACAAAAAAAAACGCAACACCCGGTGTGAAGTAAGATATCGGAAACATTTACCGAGCTATACTAAGCCCACAACATTTTGGTAACACCCGTTGAGCCGAAAACAAAACAAAAGGTTGTCATGTCTTAAGTTCTTAACTGTTCTGCCCTGCCAAAACATAGTAAAAATCTATTTTTCCCTTCAAAAGACACCAAATTAAGTGACTAAGCCGATAATATATGAGTCGAAACCATTTAGGCCGAATAAAGCCTTTAACCAAAAAAAGAAGCAATTACAAAGTCAGAGTGAGTAATATTATACAAATTAGAAATGAATCAAGGACATTCTCAAATACAATGAAACCTGCTAATAACACAAGAAAAGTCGATGAAGGGCCAACTAGGCCAACAAAACATACAGAAGAACGATAGGCCGAAACATTTTGAAGCAGGAACAGTTGTGTTCAAAAAAAAGACCCTGGCCGGAGTCAACCTAGGTCCTGACCCGTCCTAAGCCTATTCGTTACCTCCATGCCAAGTGTGCCAGAAAAGCTAAGAAGTTCGAATTGATTCTCAATTTAGCTATCACATGATTCCAGAAAAAATTATATATAACTAGCTTATAAAAGTCATATATAACTAGCTTATAGTTCCGATATGATAACGCTAGCTAGTCGCAAACGCAATTACACAAACAGATCTAAAATATTGTTGGAAAAAAGTCAATGATCGCGAGGAAACCGAAAATACTGACTTGTTTTTGAAAAACTTTCAAAATTTCGAATTTCCAAGGAAGATGATATAATCTTGAAGCTCTTTAATATTCTTGAACAATCTATGATTCATATTTTTTGATAAAATAAACCCAAGGTGAGAAAACAGGTTTTTAAAAAACTTTGTTTTTAGCTGAGAAAATTGAAAATCAAAATAATCTAAAGTAATAGTCAGATTTTTTGTGCCATTTCCGTTTCTAAAAGTGTTTCCATGAATTCCCTCCTTTTGGCAAACGAACTGAATTCAAGTTAAAAGTCAAACACCAAAAGATCGAAATTAGTAAGAACATTTTCCTGGAAAAAACATCATCACTACCTATTCAAGCGTCTTCACCACGTTCAATGAAACTTCAAATTTAGAATTCAATCAACGACAACATACGAATGTTAAAATGACCTTATAAAACGTTAAAATAGCGGAAACTTCGAGAAAATTAGGTGCGTGCTGCTGGAAATAGGCCGACAAAAACTAGTATACTTATTTCGAGAACTACAATTTAGAAACTAAAAATTTCCATAAAGCGAAAAGTACTCGTAGGCCTTCGTCATCCCAAGTATTTTAAATGGTCAGAATTAGTAACTTTTTAAAATAAATACGGAACAAGTTGAAAAACGTAACTAACATGTTGAAAAACTAACATGCAGAAATTCAAATTTGTTTTTTAAGCTCTTCAAGGGTTTCATTGCCGCTAAAAAAAACGAAAAGAAAGGCTTCAATGTGATATTTCACTTGAATTCGTACAATGTTGTTTAACTCTTCGCAGCGGTAAAAACAGCCTGATTTTATGGCCTCATACATAGAAAAGATTTATATTTACTTCAAAATATAATTAAATAGGTTGCAACAAAATAGAAAATAATAGGAAATGTACACAAATTAGGAAACATCAAAGTGATATTGTAAAAATGTACAGTATTATCTTGATTGGAGCATTTCAAACTAAGCTTTTAAGATTAAACTGAACAACAAAATCTAGAGAGTGTTTGTAGTTGTGAAATTTAGTACTTCAAACGTGGTTCCATCGCCTTTTAGTTTCACGGGAAGATATGGGACGAAAATGAGCACGGACCAGTGTAGTTTAGTTCCGAACACTGACTGTACGTTGGTGTGTTTTGACTTGCATCTGTACTTGGATAGCTTTCGGTTTCTCTCGTAAGTCGTTAGGCCAGAGTGCAAGTAGGCCGAGTGATACAGCAGTAGGTAAGTTGAGAAGAGAAACGCGACCACACTGAGCAGCAAAACTAGTACTATCAGAAAGGGCAACTCCTGAAACATCATCATCAGCATCACCAACTATGGTATTTTCAGACCATTTTTTCTACGGTAAGTAGGGGTTACAAAAGTTCACTAGTTACAAAGTCACTGTAAGTTAGCGAGTTAGGTCAAATAAAGAAGGCGTGCCCGTGGTTCAATCTTCGCACATTACATAATTTTTTTTAAAAAACAGCGATTTAATCCAAATCTTTTTCAGTATTTGCCCACAATTTGTTAAATTTTGGTTAACAGTTTAAGTTCATACCCAGTACAATAAGATGCAGCTCTCTGGGTTTATGGATTGCCTAACCTTTTTTCAACCACTAATCTCAACCATTGCCTTAAAAAAGAAGCTTTAGGATTTATAGACAGTTTTCTGTAGCCTAATTTGAAATGTTTTTTTTACTACTTTTATCTATGAAATGAAAATTAAACGAAATGCGGGAAACTTATGGAAAAAGAATGAGGTTAACTTCCATTTTTTGTTGAAGTTACAAGACCCCCCCCCCTCTGATTTTTCAGAAATTTTATGTTATCAATTGCTTTGAAACGTGTCAGCGAGAAATATTGAACATATTTATACAACATTTCGTACGTGCAAAATGGCGTGTAAACATTCTTGAATTTTTTTAATTTTACGAGAGGAAACAGTAAAATATTATTTAATTTTTTCTGAAGTTATCAAGTAAATCTTACCTTGGTAAGTCCAAACAGCCAGGCGATTGAGGGGAAGAATATGACTAGAAGTGTTCTCCAGTTCAACCCCCCACACTCAGTGATGACATAGTCGAAGTTGGTGGTCAACAGAAGCAGACAAAGAATCCACAGAAGAGCTATGATGCTGATGAAGTATCTGTAGTTTGTGAAGCCAACACACCTTCCAGTGAAGTAGCAGTGGTGGTCGAAGCGCAACACACAGATATTACACCTGAACAACTAACTGAGATTAGTTTAAGGCAAATCAATAACATATTGCATCAGCTTCATTTTTGGATCAATACCAGGGCACTGTACTCGGCAGTACGTAATTTGCGGGGGTATATTTTTTGAATAAAAATGGAGTTTTTCATTATGGGGGTTCAAAATTATCAGGGGGTCCCTCAAATTATTTGAATCGATTCTGATATATATTATGACAAAAACAAGCCAAAAATGATCTTCAACGTAAAAATAAGCAGAAAAATTTAGTTACTACATATCAGCGTCATTTTTTACATGAAATTTTTTTTTATTTGGAGCCTTCAAAAATGGCATTGTTTTCGTTTACTTTGGGTGTAAATTTTTCGGTATAAAAATTACGAAGGGGTCCATTCAGACACTCCCAAAACTTGAAGGGGTCAATATTCTAGGGGTGTGGAGTCCATGAAGAAGTCAATTTGTGTTGGGAGGTCTCGACAATTAAGTAGTGCAGAGTAATTTTCAGATTTTAATGTAAAAGCTTCCGTGTGTTTACAAAAGTTACAGTTTGACCACGTAATGGTGTTTAAATCAGATTTTTTTGTGCCAGGAGAGTAACAATTTTTGTGCCAATTGGTTCCGAAAAAAGGAGGATTACTGTTTTATTCTACAGATGTTCTGATATCACCTCAACTTAGCCTTGCTTATTATTTAATACATAGCATCAGCAAGTTTTAGTTAGAAACGACATCAGAAAATATGTAAACTAAGACAGTAACCCTCCTGTTTGTGGATCAAACTAGCGCAAAATGGTAACTCTCTTCAGCTAGAACTGAGTTAAAATCTGAAGGTCAAAACTGATGTGACATCCTACGGCTTTATTTAGCAGACGTCCGTCGAATGATGATTTTCATGGGTCGGTAAACTATAACCAACTCTCTCAGGTACTGCAAGCCCTAATTTCTATTCAGGTAATATTTTTCAAAACTCAGGCAGGAATGGATCGATCTCTTTAGATACCTTTGACAATGGTAGCTTCTAGGAGGCGAGTTCTGGTTGCAGATCCAGCAGAACTTCCACTCTGGCTTCTGCACAAAGGGTAACATGACACCTCTAGTTGTGCTATCTGTTGTGATGAGTTTAAACCAACAGAAGTAGATTGCAACAGAGAGATAACTGACAACTGCATAAGAGACACTCAAGGTCATTCCATCGAATATCTTGGGAAGGAGTAGTGTGAACTGGATGCCTATTGAGGTGGGGAATAAAAGTGCAAATAGGGTAAAAGGGATGTAGTCTGCCCTGTCAGGTGGGATGAATTTGCGCCACATCATACTCGCGTTTTCTGAAAACAAGAAAAAATAAATTGTTCGATCTGCAGTTTCACGATTGTGATCCTAGCACATAGACAATAAATAAACACCATTCTATTAAGCTTGTTAGATAAAGATCAACTTTATCTTACAGCGGTTGCTATTTAGATTGAATATAGACAGGTGCGGATTTAGGGGGGAGGGGGCGTACTTTGTGCTATTTTGAGATATCCATTTTTGGTTACGGACCCTAAAATTTTTCTAAAGGCGCCTTAGGCGCCAATATATACTAATTTTGAGGGGGAGCGCGCGCCGAAAAAACGCAATTACCTAAAAAAAAGGTCGACAAAATTTTCAAATTTTTTTGAAAATCCGCCACCCCTCGAGAAAATCCTAGATCCGCCCCTGAATATAGATACATTCACCTTTTTAACCAACTGCCGACTAAAATACATTTTTTTTCACCTGACTGTTTTTAATCAGATTTAGGCAGCTTAATTATTTCATGGACTGGTAAAGACCTGTAAAATATAGCAACACTTGCTTCATAAATATGAATGAACATGTGAAATATGAAAGATAAAAAGAAGCTAAGATTTTTAACAAGTTCTATTTAGAATATAATTTTGAGGGATTCAGATCAGGTAAAAACTTTAGAAAATTTTGACGACGTTTTCTTTCTTCGCCGCAGGCAAATTTTTGAAACAACAGGTCAAAAAAGCCGTTTTTGGAAAATGTTGACAAAAAAATCGCGTTTTTTTGGCACGCGCTCCCCCTCAAAGTTAGTATAAATTGGCGCCTTTAGAAAAACTTTAGGTTCCGTCACCAAAAATGGACTTCCTTTGCGTCGGCAGGGGGTCAAATCATGATCATATTCAACTCAACGGACAAACCAGAATGAAAAAATAATTCAAAAGAAACAAAAACAGAAAACAAATTTACTGGTTTAAATTTGAAAAAAAAAATAAAGACCAGCTATTTTAAACATGGAAAGCTCGACAAAAATAAGACTGAAGCCAACATTTTGGATTCCTCAAATTTATATACATTTTTTCTCGGATGGAGATCATTTAACGGAAACCACGTCGAAGACTTCTTGCAATTAGCACCGAAAAACTTGAAACATAGCCAAAAGACAGTTGGAAAAGAGTCAATAAACGCAATAAAACAAAAAGCACTTACTCGTTTTTTTTTTCGAAAAAAAATCTCAACTTTCGGACCTCAAAGAAAAAAATAGATGCCCTTAAAGCTCTTCCAATTTCTAGAACAATTGATGACTGGCTCTTTTTCAATAAAACTAATCCAATTTGAGAAAACTAATTCTATATGTAATTATTTTGTTTCGTTAGGAAATCTGAAAAATAAATTCAATTTTCGAAACTGGAAGTCGCACATAATTTTCGTGATGTTTTCACTTTACAGTTAGATAGTAGAGTTTGCCTTCCTTTTAACTGCCTTCCGTTCAATTTTCAATTGTAACAGCTACTTTTCAAAACAATTTAGGCTAAAAAGCATGAACATATTTTCAATTGTTCTAGAAAAACTTTTATTAATTTTCACTTTTATTAAGACGGATCTGGGAATGGGCTGAAGATTTCTCCAAAACATTTTGTAAGATTTCAACCATGCTTATAAAAACCAACAAAAACTGGAAAAAAAAATCATTCGGAATCCGATCGAAACAAAGCCAACACTCAAGATCCGAAAAAACCGAACTTTTTGGCACAAAAATACTATCAAAGGAACTCATAACAGGCACACAAGGCCCATACCTAACATGCAAATACTACATTTACCTCTGTAGTGAAATACGTTGGAACAAATTCACATGCGAATTCTGTGGACAATGTTGTTCACGGGAAAAAAAGTCTAGTACCATGTTGCAATACCCTTGCTTAACGCAAGGGTAATAGAGTAAAAAAATTCCGATTGATTCAATATTTATTTTAGACAAACTGTTTGAAAAACCTGTTCCGATTTGATAACGCTAGTTACTGTTAACATAATACCTAAAAAGGATAGCCGGTTATTGTGCAAGTAGCCTACAAAGATCCGACCAAATTGATTTCCGTCAAATCTAAGAAAAAAGAAACTCAATTTTTATTTGCAATTATTGCCTAAATTTCTTCATATTTTTTCCAGAGAGAGCCATTGAATTAGCTGAAAAAATCTAAAACGAGCGGCAACGATGGCTAAGAAATAACGTTAAAACTAGAGAAACAGGCTTAAAATTCTGGTAGAACTACAGTTGGGATCTCAGCCTCTCATTAAATGTCATCTAATTTAGTTTGAAAACCAAAAATATTCAGACCATTTTTTCTCGACACTCAGAGAAATTTTTAGTATGGGTTTATTATGATACACAACTTGAACACTACGAATATTTTTTGAGTTAGTAAAAATTGGTGGACAAAAAACATCTAGTTTTGACTTCAAAGTTCAATTTACTAAGTCAATATTTTTGATTCGTTCTTATAAAAATCTGCGTTTCATAGACCAGCCCTCTACAAACGCAGTGTAAAGAGTCCTTAAAATTCTCAGTAAAGCAAGAAAAAATAAACACAGGAGAAACTGTATTTAACACGCTCGAAACTACTAGCGAAAAAACGACAAAAAGCAGCTCTACTCTACGAAGTGAAATAAAGAAATGGTTAAAATAAGTCTTGGAAATTAAAATTTTGCTGCGGCGGATTCGATCCTACGCCCGCAAGATTCAGATTCCCCTGTCTCGCCATGGGCCCTTGACAATTTTGTAACACTAGCCACACAAAGCAGCTACATAAGCTATAAATTACCAATGCGATACAAAAGTGCCACAAAATACAAATAGACACAATTTTGTATGATTAAAACAAAATGAAGGCATCCACACTAACTTGGCATGTAACAAATTGGAAAGCATAAAGCCAAATTATGCATAAAACATGCTTTTCAAAAAATACGAGATATATTCAGTTAGAAAGTTCCTGATATGGAATTCTAATTATTGCACTGTTGATTGAAACAAATAGTTTTGGTTCATTTGATGAATCAAAATGCATCAACTGTGTTAACTTATTTATTAAATATCGAACTTTGATGCAGTGCTCCAAAATACCTCAAAAGTGCCCCTAAAAGGGCACCAAAATTTGCTATTTAGGTTGGAAATAAATACTCGTACTAACACACTACACTCGCTGAAGCTGGCGAGTGTAATAACCCAAAAATAAATGTTTTCAGAAAAATTGCTCATCATTTTAGATGATTGAAACTTTGTCGATAAAATAAACAGAAATTGGAACAACTGGATCAATCGTTAACTTTTTTCTTGCTGGGAAATCTAAAATTAACATTGATTCGCGCAATTTCTATTTTGGCTACTGTAGAGCGTTACTTGCTGTCGATTTAGCAAAAAATGATATTGAAACAGATCGAAAATCAAACCACTCGAATGAAAAACTAAGCGTGAACAATATCCCCCTATTTTTCTAATAACCCAAAACAGAGCCAATAGAAGATAACCCAAAACAGAATTATAAGATACTTTTTGAACATTAAAAATTTGCAATTCGTTCACGCTTTTCAGATTGAGACAACCTTTTATGGTTGATAAGTTTTTTCCATTACACTAACCCAATTAGGAAAAGTGGTCCTAAAAAAATTCAATCTCAATACCAAAGCTATTCAAATTTTTACTCCCTTCGCATTTTTGTAATTAGAAAGCGTAATTTGTTTTCCGTTTAGCAAATAAACTACATTTCCCTGAACAAGAAAAACCAGGACCAAAATTATTGTCTTCCATTTCCTCATTGACACTTAAAGAATACCCACGACATAAATAAATGTCTTCACTTCGCTCACTTACAAATTTCGACCCCCACGCCCCCCCCCCACATCAAACAAAATTCAAAACAAAGACATATAGAAACTTGGCTTCGCATAGCCAAGCGAATGAGCAACCTGTCGAATGAGCAAAACTTTTATACAGCTTATTTAATAAGCTTCTGAAAGTAACATAAAAAAATATCTACCAGACCGTAGAGAATTAATCCCCGACCGATAGATTACGAATGCATTTTCTAGCTAGAGCTCAATTTCTTGATGATCGCAGCTTACTGCATAAAAAGAGTCAAAAATGCATGCAACTACGACAAAAAGCTTAAGCTGTTTTGGATCCCGCAAAAAACTAAGCACTGATATTGGAACTTCTATTATAAAAAAGTTGACTGGTACTATATAACACAAGCTTCGAATTAACGCCTCTCTTTCCGGAGACAAAAGAATATTCTAGTCATTTTGTGAAGAAGAAGTGATCTAGTTTAGGATATTTTGCTGTCTCTAACAAAGTTAATTTGACCAAAAATGTATTAAAATTTTTAATTGCAAAAGTTTGTGGTTCAATATTTTACAGATACATCTGCTGAATTATAAAGCTTTCAAGAATCATAGCAATGTATTTGAAGTAAAAAACGAATTAGATGGTAGATTCAACTTCCTCGTATCGTGACAAGTATTGCGAGGAAAGACGAAGCCAGTAGGCACTCTGGGTATTGATATGGCAGCGATGTTTGGGTTATCAAATGCTCGATTTCTTCTGTGGAAACTTCTTCGATCTAAGCAAAACATCTGGCTGTAAAACATTAAGCCTAATCCTGGCCTACAATTCTTGCCTAGAAATTATCAGGATCTCTTTAACTATATCACCTCTTGGGTACCCAGTAACGAATATCCCCCACTACCTATGAAGAAATATATCAACGGTTAAGCATGTCAGATTTTTAAACCTAGTAACGAATCTCCCCACCTTTTGCAAAAGGGGGGATATAGTTGAAGAGATCCAAAATTTTTTCTGTGAAATCGCTTCAAATTCGCATGCGCGATTGCCAAATCAACTAAGAATTCATTGCCCCAATACTGCTGTTGTATATTTAGATAGTTTAATGAATCTAAAATCGAATTCAACGATTCAACTAAACAAGTGAGGAAATCAGCCCCATCTCCCTAGAATCAGTCCCTGATTAGAACTTTTTATCAATCCGCATAAAATCAGAGCATAATTACAATTAGCATGTTCCGAGCTGATACGATAATTTCATTAAAGAAAAGTGCGTTTTAGAATCATCAAACTTTACTCGGCATTTTAGAGATTTTGAACGTGTGACTTGTTTTGTTACTCACTGCTGTCGGTTTGAAATAACATGTTTTCAATCTGATTCCTCAACTCATTCGACTCCTGCTCTCGTCTGTTCACAATTAAGTTCAATGAGTTCACTTTGTCTTCTCTGTCTGCTGTGTCATTCAGTGACGACTGCAGTGCCCTTTTGAGCGATTCGTTCTCATTTCTAAAGACAAACTGATCGCTCAAATTTAAATTTATACACCAGGAAAAAATCGAAGACTAGATTAGTTTAGCTAGTTATGGCAACGGGCTAATCTGCCCCTCGTTCAAGCCTTTGCATAATTTTCGAGCATATAGAACGGGCCTTGCGACTTTAAATTGTTTTTTCAAAGATGAGGCAAAAATCGATTTACAAAAACCAATTTATGTCTGGTTTTTCTGTAAGCTACTTAATAATTTCTGATACTGATCAGGAAAAAAACTGTTTTATTGACCTTATTAACATGTTTAACACAGAGGCAAAGCTGAGCTTCGCACCATTTGCGATACAAATATGAATGACTAAATCAAACGGGGAAAAAATCAAAAAATCGTTTTGCCAATAAAAATTGCAACAAAAGCCTAATATATCCGGAACAAAAACACCTGCACCATTAATATATCATGTGAATGCTATACAGAAGCCAAGTTGTCAAAAAAGTCCTTTCTGCCTTCAAACCTTTGCCGTTTCAAGCATTTGTTTTACCTCTAAGCCAGATGCGCGGAATGGTTGATTGGATTTGAATCTACAATTACCAAGCGGAAACAAAGCCGAAAAACCTGAGCAGAAACCCTTCATGCCGAAAAGAAAATCAAAAAATTCTCAACTTATAAAAAATGTAAAAAGTCCCTTTTCCCCTCAGAGCACATACACGCCCACAAAAAATTTTCGAATGTAACGACGCAATAAGAGGCCACTAAGTCGATATTAATTGAGCCGAATTTTTTTTAAGCCGATAAAAAAGACAAAAAAATTTAAAAAGTGAAATTTTAACAAATCGAGCTGTTTAAAATGCTACAAACAACTGCAGTGAAAATTGTTTACAGCTTAAATAAACAATTCTTAGATGAGGCAACTAAGCCGACAAAACATGAGCAGACAAATAATAGGCCAAATTTTTTTTGAACCGGAACATTTACCCTTAGAAAAAAACTGTCCTGGTCACATTCGAAACCAGGACCTTTGACGTCCCAGTATTCGTTACCATCAGGCTAAATGTGCGACACTGCAAAATTTGAATTCATTATGAACCAAGTTACCACCAGGAGCCAGGAGACTAATGAGTCCTGCCGACAAAATTGTTTACGGGAAAAAAGAACTAGCACCCGGTTGCAAAACCCTTGCTATCGCAAGGGTAAACATTTAAAGTATTTCTTCAAACAATTCGTTTTTTCAACAATTGCATATTATTTATTCAGTTGCAATCAATCATTATTCTGAACCGAGTACCTCACACACTGCAACTGCATGTCCAACTCATCCATCACCATTCTCTCTTCTCTCAGTTTCTTCTCCAATTCCACAGACAAATCCATCTTGTTCTTCACCTTCTCCGAACCCACTTCAATCAAATCTATCACAGTGTTCTCCTTGTCCTTAAAACAACAAGCATTGGTTAGTAGATAACCGCTTAGTTGGCCGAAGCAATTTTTCTCAAATCTCACTTTTCGGCACTGAAATTTTTCATGCAGCAGGTTAACTCTAAATCCAGATCATAACAAGGGCGGTTTAGTGGAAAACCAGACCCCCACCCACAATTAGCACCGAGGGTTTCCAGCTATCTTAATAATCATCTATTTAAAAAATGCAAAACGATCTTTTTTGCCTTACATGATGGCTCGGAAAATTTTTCCCACGATTTTCAGACAACATTATGGTACCATAAAATAGAGATGATTAATCTTTGCATCGAAAAAATTTCCTTGAAAAACAAAACAATTAGTAAAAACAGCCAACAAACAGTTGGAAAATTTCGATGGTCTGAGAAAAAAAATATCAACCAGCAGCTCTTCGCAATAGCCTTTTGTTCAGCTGGTAATACTTAAATTAAAATATATTTTAGAAATTTTAAGTCAATCAATTTTTTCGCCCCATTTCCATTTTCGTTACTAGAGGGCGTAGTTGTCTTCCTTTTAGCAAATAAAAACGAATCGAAACTGTGAAAAATCAGATTTGATTGTACAAAATTTTTAAGCGTTTGAAAAAACTAACAAACAACCTATATTTCTCACAGAATCAGATCGATAAACAAGTTCAATTAACTTGAATTCAACAAAACGTTCAGTCGAACATATAGTGAAAACTGCATGCAAAGGAATTCGCCTTAAAATTATAGCATCTCTGAGGAATTAAAACATTTAAAAAATCGAAGACAGACGCGAAGCGTGAAAAAATATATAGATGAGCCAAAATTGTTGTAATTCTCGATAACAGATGACTATGCGCCCAGCTTAGGCTGGAGACACCTGTTTGATATTTATAAATTTGTCATACTGATCCAAGATGAAAAGGTATTTTGAAAAATTGGACTTTGTCCAAAACATTAGTTTCTATACAAAATGAAAGAGAAGTGAAAATTTTTGAGAATTTGGAACTTTGCCAAGGACATAAAAATTTTCGGTCGGAAAATTGCCGAGTTGCCTTTTCTACAAGAAAAACTCTGGCAACCATTTCTTTCGATTGAACCGTTCATCTAAGATTTGATAGGGTAGTTTCTACGAAAATGAAAAATTTTCTAAGAAATGGTCAAGTTCAATATCTTGACTTTCAGAAATCTATAACTTATTTTCAGCAAAAAGAAAGTCTTGGCCGCTTAAGCAGTGAAGATTTCCAAAAACGGATTTTTCGATTGAACGCTTAACTTAAGAATTGGCAGGATACCTTTTGAGAAATGCCATTAAAAGTTCCAAAAATGGAGACAGTTTCAAAACATTGACTTTTTTGAAGGCCCTAACTTTTTTCTTAGAAAAAAATGGGTTTAGCCTATTATTAAGGTAGGTTTCCAAAACCTGTTGTTTCGATTTCCTTTGCATCGGCAGGGGGTCAAATTATGATCATATTCAACTCAGCGGACAAACCAGAATGAAAAAAAAATCATTAAGGAAACAAAAACAGAAAACAAATTTACTGGTTTAAATTTGAAAAAAAATAAAGACCAGCTATTTTAAACAGCATGGAAAGCTCTGTTGTAATTCTCGATAACAGATGACTATGCGCCCAGCTTAGGCTGGAGACACCTGTTTGATATTTATAAATTTGTCATACTGATCCAAGATGAAAAGGTATTTTGAAAAATTGAACTTTGTCCAAAACCTTAGTTTCTATACAAAATGAAAGAGAAGTGAAAATTTTTGAGAATTTGGAACTTTGCCAAGGACATAAAAATTTTCGGTCGGAAAATTGCCGAGTTGCCTTTTCTACAAGAAAAACTCTGGCAACCATTTCTTTCGATTGAACCGTTCATCTAAGATTTGATAGGGTAGTTTCTACGAAAATGAAAAATTTTCTAAGAAATGGTCAAGTTCAATATCTTGACTTTCAGAAATCTATAACTTATTTTCAGCAAAAAGAAAGTCTTGGCCGCTTAAGCAGTGAAGATTTCCAAAAACGGATTTTTCGATTGAACGCTTAACTTAAGAATTGGCAGGATACCTTTTGAGAAATGCCATTAAAAGTTCCAAAAATGGAGACAGTTTCAAAACATTGACTTTTTTGAAGGCCCTAACTTTTTTCTTAGAAAAAAATGGGTTTAGCCTATTATTAAGGTAGGTTTCCAAAACCTGTTGTTTCGATTTCCTTTGCATCGGCAGGGGGTCAAATTATGATCATATTCAACTCAGCGGACAAACCAGAATGAAAAAAAAAATCATTAAGGAAACAAAAACAGAAAACAAATTTACTGGTTTAAATTTGAAAAAAAATAAAGACCAGCTATTTTAAACAGCATGGAAAGCTCTGTTGTAATTCTCGATAACAGATGACTATGCGCCCAGCTTAGGCTGGAGACACCTGTTTGATATTTATAAATTTGTCATACTGATCCAAGATGAAAAGGTATTTTGAAAAATTGAACTTTGTCCAAAACCTTAGTTTCTATACAAAATGAAAGAGAAGTGAAAATTTTTGAGAATTTGGAACTTTGCCAAGGACATAAAAATTTTCGGTCGGAAAATTGCCGAGTTGCCTTTTCTACAAGAAAAACTCTGGCAACCATTTCTTTCGATTGAACCGTTCATCTAAGATTTGATAGGGTAGTTTCTACGAAAATGAAAAATTTTCTAAGAAATGGTCAAGTTCAATATCTTGACTTTCAGAAATCTATAACTTATTTTCAGCAAAAAGAAAGTCTTGGCCGCTTAAGCAGTGAAGATTTCCAAAAACGGATTTTTCGATTGAACGCTTAACTTAAGAATTGGCAGGATACCTTTTGAGAAATGCCATTAAAAGTTCCAAAAATGGAGACAGTTTCAAAACATTGACTTTTTTGAAGGCCCTAACTTTTTTCTTAGAAAAAAATGGGTTTAGCCTATTATTAAGGTAGGTTTCCAAAACCTGTTGTTTCGATTTCCTTTGCATCGGCAGGGGGTCAAATTATGATCATATTCAACTCAGCGGACAAACCAGAATGAAAAAAAAAATCATTAAGGAAACAAAAACAGAAAACAAATTTACTGGTTTAAATTTGAAAAAAAATAAAGACCAGCTATTTTAAACAGCATGGAAAGCTCTGTTGTAATTCTCGATAACAGATGACTATGCGCCCAGCTTAGGCTGGAGACACCTGTTTGATATTTATAAATTTGTCATACTGATCCAAGATGAAAAGGTATTTTGAAAAATTGAACTTTGTCCAAAACCTTAGTTTCTATACAAAATGAAAGAGAAGTGAAAATTTTTGAGAATTTGGAACTTTGCCAAGGACATAAAAATTTTCGGTCGGAAAATTGCCGAGTTGCCTTTTCTACAAGAAAAACTCTGGCAACCATTTCTTTCGATTGAACCGTTCATCTAAGATTTGATAGGGTAGTTTCTACGAAAATGAAAAATTTTCTAAGAAATGGTCAAGTTCAATATCTTGACTTTCAGAAATCTATAACTTATTTTCAGCAAAAAGAAAGTCTTGGCCGCTTAAGCAGTGAAGATTTCCAAAAACGGATTTTTCGATTGAACGCTTAACTTAAGAATTGGCAGGATACCTTTTGAGAAATGCCATTAAAAGTTCCAAAAATGGAGACAGTTTCAAAACATTGACTTTTTTGAAGGCCCTAACTTTTTTCTTAGAAAAAAATGGGTTTAGCCTATTATTAAGGTAGGTTTCCAAAACCTGTTGTTTCGATTTCCTTTGCATCGGCAGGGGGTCAAATTATGATCATATTCAACTCAGCGGACAAACCAGAATGAAAAAAAAAATCATTAAGGAAACAAAAACAGAAAACAAATTTACTGGTTTAAATTTGAAAAAAAAATAAAGACCAGCTATTTTAAACAGCATGGAAAGCTCTGTTGTAATTCTCGATAACAGATGACTATGCGCCCAGCTTAGGCTGGAGACACCTGTTTGATATTTATAAATTTGTCATACTGATCCAAGATGAAAAGGTATTTTGAAAAATTGAACTTTGTCCAAAACCTTAGTTTCTATACAAAATGAAAGAGAAGTGAAAATTTTTGAAAATTTGGAACTTTGCCAAGGACATAAAAATTTTCGGTCGGAAAATTGCCGAGTTGCCTTTTCTACAAGAAAAACTCTGGCAACCATTTCTTTCGATTGAACCGTTCATCTAAGATTTGATAGGGTAGTTTCTACGAAAATGAAAAATTTTCTAAGAAATGGTCAAGTTCAATATCTTGACTTTCAGAAATCTATAACTTATTTTCAGCAAAAAGAAAGTCTTGGCCGCTTAAGCAGTGAAGATTTCCAAAAACGGATTTTTCGATTGAACGCTTAACTTAAGAATTGGCAGGATACCTTTTGAGAAATGCCATTAAAAGTTCCAAAAATGGAGACAGTTTCAAAACATTGACTTTTTTGAAGGCCCTAACTTTTTTCTTAGAAAAAATTGGGTTTAGCCTATTATTAAGGTAGGTTTCCAAAACCTGTTGTTTCGATTTACTTTGCGTCGGCAGGGGGTCAAATTATGATCATATTCAACTCAGCGGACAAACCAGAATGAAAAAAAAATCATTAAGGAAACAAAAACAGAAAACAAATTTACTGGTTTAAATTTGAAAAAAAAAATAAAGACCAGCTATTTTAAACAGCATGGAAAGCTCTGTTGTAATTCTCGATAACAGATGACTATGCGCCCAGCTTAGGCTGGAGACACCTGTTTGATATTTATAAATTTGTCATACTGATCCAAGATGAAAAGGTATTTTGAAAAATTGAACTTTGTCCAAAACCTTAGTTTCTATACAAAATGAAAGAGAAGTGAAAATTTTTGAGAATTTGGAACTTTGCCAAGGACATAAAAATTTTCGGTCGGAAAATTGCCGAGTTGCCTTTTCTACAAGAAAAACTCTGGCAACCATTTCTTTCGATTGAACCGTTCATCTAAGATTTGATAGGGTAGTTTCTACGAAAATGAAAAATTTTCTAAGAAATGGTCAAGTTCAATATCTTGACTTTCAGAAATCTATAACTTATTTTCAGCAAAAAGAAAGTCTTGGCCGCTTAAGCAGTGAAGATTTCCAAAAACGGATTTTTCGATTGAACGCTTAACTTAAGAATTGGCAGGATACCTTTTGAGAAATGCCATTAAAAGTTCCAAAAATGGAGACAGTTTCAAAACATTGACTTTTTTGAAGGCCCTAACTTTTTTCTTAGAAAAAATTGGGTTTAGCCTATTATTAAGGTAGGTTTCCAAAACCTGTTGTTTCGATTTACTTTGCGTCGGCAGGGGGTCAAATTATGATCATATTCAACTCAGCGGACAAACCAGAATGAAAAAAAAAATCATTAAGGAAACAAAAACAGAAAACAAATTTACTGGTTTAAATTTGAAAAAAAAATAAAGACCAGCTATTTTAAACAGCATGGAAAGCTCTGTTGTAATTCTCGATAACAAATGACTATGCGCCCAGCTTAGGCTGGAGACACCTGTTTGATATTTATAAATTTGTCATACTGATCCAAGATGAAAAGGTATTTTGAAAAATTGAACTTTGTCCAAAACCTTAGTTTCTATACAAAATGAAAGAGAAGTGAAAATTTTTGAGAATTTGGAACTTTGCCAAGGACATAAAAATTTTCGGTCGAAAAATTACCGAGTTGCCTTTTCTACAAGAAAAACTCTGGCAACCATTTCTTTCGATTGAACCATTCATCTAAGATTTGATAGGGTAGTTTCTACGAAAATGAAAAATTTTCTAAGAAATGGTCAAAGTTCAATATCTTGACTTTCAGAAATCTATAACTTATTTTCAGCAAAAAGAAAGTCTTGGCCGCTTAAGCAGTGAAGATTTCCAAAAACGGATTTTTCGATTGAACGCTTAACTTAAGAATTGGCAGGATACCTTTTGAGAAATGCCATTAAAAATTCCAAAAATGGGACTGTTTCAAAACATTGACTTTTTTGAAGGCCCTAACTTTTTTCTTAGAAAAAATTGGGTTTAGCCTATTATTAAGGTAGGTTTCCAAAACCTGTTGTTTCGATTAAACTCTTGATATCAGATTTGGCAGAATAGGTATCGAGAAGAATTTCCATAGAAAGTGGAAAAAATCAAAAACTCAATTTTTCCGAGAATCATAGCATTTTATGAATTCCAGACCTGAGGCTGCAAAAGCAACTGCGTTGCCTCCGAGCCAAGTGACAAGGAACCTGGAAGTTAATAGGGTTCAATAATAAAGTAAGTTCAATTTTTTATAAGGAAAATTGCGTACGGGAAAAAGCCTGGTTCCCGATTACAAGACACTTGCTCTCGCAAGAGTAATTACACACAAAATGCAAGATCTCAGAAGCTAAAAAGTTTCGGAGCATTATCATTTCACGGTGGATTTAGTGCCTGTTTTCCGGCCAGGTAAAAATTAATTGTTTTTGGTATTTAAAAAAAATTATAATACCTTCACCGGTTTTGCAGTCAACATAAAGTTGATCTTTTTCAAAAATTAATGAAAATCAGAATATCTTTAAAAGTATAACGCTTCAGCATCTTATCTTTGGGATAGCAATCGCAAACTATTTTTGTGTCAGGCAGCTTTTAAAAAACTCAATACACTTATCTACACATGCATAGTAAGTACTAGCGATCTTAAGAAATATATACAGTAGCACTTTATCAAGTTTTTCAAGAGTATAATGTCTCTAACTCGGTGTGCGAAGCAAATGATCACATCTTTAACCTTTTCGAAAAACATTTCAAGTAAAAAAAAAACATTTCGCTCAGCAGATTTAGCATTTTATTCTCTATTTGGAATTGAATTTCCCTTTATTTTGCCTTCGCATAAATGATTGTTGAAAATCAAATTATAGACACTTTGATTAAAAAAATTTAACCATTGACAGCTTATGTGTTAGTATATCCATAACTTCAATCATTAAAAAATTTCAATATTAACAGCCCATTTGTTCATATATCCACAACGCTGTCTTAAAAAAACGTCTGACAAGGCAAGCTACGGCGAATAGGACGTTCTGGCTGAAAGCAATCTTAACACAGAGGCGAAGTTGCACTTCGCATACATAAGCAAAATATGACCGATAACGCTACTGGGAAAAACTGAATGAATAAAACTTTGAGTCTGCAAAATTTGTTAAGTGACGCACGCCAATTATGAGTCTACATAACTGCTAACTGACGCAAGCCAATTATGACGCATTAGCAGTACCAGCCAGTTTGAAAAAAAAAGAAATTTACCAACTAACATGCCTCTATTTATAGAGCGGACGCATTGCAACTAGTATACGAAAAAGTTCATTTAAAAGTATCCGACCCTGCCCAGATACCTTGAAGCTAAATAGATATTTGTAATATAATAGTCTTTGTAAAAATCCTGAGCATTGGCTGTACTTAATAGCTGGTTATTGGTCAAAATGAACACTTTCAAAATGAACACAATTTGTCGCAGTATATTTGCGGCTTAGGTTGGAAAAAAAGATTTCATACTATAACACAAACTTTGTTTGTGTAAAAAAAGTTACTACAAGATCGCAAGAACTACACTCAACCAGCATAAAAATAAAAGCATCCATATCTTACTTGTAGTTCCCTAGTGAGAAACGACACTTTGATCTCGAGAGAATTCTTATCCGCAGTCACTTCTGACAGTCTGTGTTCCAAATTTCTTCTCTCCTCTCTGCTTCTTTTCAACAAATTCAGACTCATTAATTCCTGTTCATGTACACTTGTTCGGTCTTCTTCGAAACAGTTTAAAGTATCTTCTATGCGGGAAGTTTTGAGGACAGATTTGGAGTGTATGCTTTCTGAGGCTGCTTTCACAGAGGCTTCTAATTCGTTTTGAAGCTGCATAATTTCCTAAAAAGACATGCATGGTAGGACCCCATACTGCTTATGAAAACATCGGAAGCGTAACAACCAGTAGTAATACTACACTAAATTTTATTTTTGAACATCAAGTTCTGGGTACTGACCTGATTGGCACGTTCTAACTCTTCGCTTAGATGACTTCGTTTCTCTTGCTCGTACAATAACGCCTTGGATTTCTTCTCCAAATCTCTCTTCAATTCAGTGTCTGTCCTCGTTTTACGATTGGACTCCAATTCTGCTTCCAAAAACTCGAGTCTCTCACAGTTCTCTTTATACTTTTTCTCTAGCTCGTTGTGCCTGTATTCGAATTCTCTCAGATTGTTAAATTTATTTTCTATTTCACATTTCTCCTCAACAACTTCGTCGTATTTGGTCGTTGAGTCCGACAGCTGTTGTTCCAGGAATCGAATCTGATCAAAATACATAAACATTATAGACCAGTTCTAGTTATGAGTCATAAGCCCACAAATCTCAAGTACAGTAAAGGTCACAGGTATTTATAACAAACATGACACGGGGAAAAATTGCGTTCTCTTAAACGTGGCGTTGTGGCGCATCGGTAGCGATGTTGCCCAGCAATCATATGATTGCGGGTTCAAATCGCTCGTGCGCTGCTATTTATAAGGTGAGCTCTTGTAAGATAGCCATAGCTTAGTTAACCTTAAATAATTTACCTCTGGATTAGGCTGGCTAACTAAGTTAAAACAACAGAAACTTTACAATGAACACAAATCACATGCAACATCTTCGTCAAAAAACGTTCAAACATTGAATAAGTAGATCGTTGAATAACCTCACGTACTAACCTGTTCTTCTAAGGCTGCAATGCTCACTTCCGTGGATTCTCTCTCTTGTTCCAGTTGTCTAGCCAAAGACTCCACTTCTGACTCACGCGATACCAACTGCAGCTTCACTCTTTTCAATTCCTCTTTCTCAGAAGATCGCGAATTCGATGATTTTTCAGCCTAACAATAAACTTAATTTTAATTAACACAATCGCCTTCAGGGCAAATTTGTTGTATGACTTTAACCTTTTTCTGAAGCTCTGCGATTACTTTGTTGCTTTCTGTTTTGTTACTTTGAAGCGTGGAAATTTCCTCCGCAAGCTTCTTATTCTTTTTCTCCAGATCGCTTCGTTTTTTCTGTTCAGCTTTTCTGATTTCTTCGATATCATGCAATTTATCTTTCTCCATTTTCACCTGTCGAATTCAAAGTTAATCATTCAAATTTAACATAATTTTTTTTGCAAATCATTGACTTTCGGTGTTACGTCAAACATTACCTTCAAATTTTTCAAAGTTGCGATTTCGGCTTCCATTCTTTTCACAGTGCTAGTCCTTTCTTTCAGCTGATTGGTTAGTTTATCAATTATATCTTTGTCTTTGGAAAATGACTGCATCGCTCTAGTTTCGCTCAATTTCAATTCTTTCATTTTTCCTTCAAGACCGTCGATTTTATTTTTTAGATAAGTAATTTCATCAGATTTTCGTTTCATCGTGTCTTTAGATAATTTCAGCTCTGAATCGGTGGCGATCAATTTCTCTTTAAGCTTTTCCTGGTCCTTTATCAAATCCTTTTTCTTACGTTCCAACTTCTGAATTACTTCGAGGTTCTTCTCTGTCGGAGCATGTGTAGTATTTTGGTCCGCCTAAAACAAAAAAACTTCATTTGCTTAAACAATAAATGTGTTTCATATTATTTAAAAGGTTTTTGCGAAGGATAACTGCGAAAATCAACTATCTATAACTTTATTTGAACTTTTTGAGTTGATGTTTGAGAATTTTTGCATCAGTATCGATACGTACTTAAACAAAAGTTCCTAAAACTTTTCATATAATTCATTTTAAAAAAAACCTACGAATTCATAAACTCATTTTTCAAACTAAAAGCAACTTACAATTCCATTTGATTCAATTGGTTCATCGAGATACATCTGGGCATCTCTCATCAGGGCATTAATTTCTTCATTTTCTCTGTTCAATTGATCTATTTCTCTGTTCAGAGCTACTTCTGTATTTTCTTTCTCATCTAACTTCTGCTCCAAGTCTTGAATAGTTTTACGTAACACGTCAATTTCAGCAGTAGCCTGGTTATCAACACCACCATTCTGTGCTAGATGCAGTTCACCCTCTAGAATGTCAATTTCCTCTTCTAAACTCAACAGTTCTCGCTCTTTGTCTTCTTTATACTCTTCAAACTCTTTCAACAACTCTTCGTATCTTGACTCTTCCATCGCTGCAGCTTGATTCGTCTGCTGACCTGACTTAAAACTAGAAAGCCGGTTTCGACTTACAGGTATTTTCGACGACGACATTCTTGAACATTGAGAAGTTTTCAAATTCTTCGTGAAGTTGTGCGATCTTGTTTTGATTATGACTGTCAATAATCGCAATGCACAGACTAATGTTGAACATCTTATTCAGCTTCAATAGATCCTCGAGTTTGACAAAATCACTTGAGCCGAATAACACGCCTGCTGTAATTGATATTATAAGCAACCGCTGAAAAGCTACGCGTACATATTTTGTGTTAAGAAAAATTACAACGTAAAACTGGCATTAACCGTAAAAACAGACTACGCTACATGTAAAGATGAGTTAAACTTTTGACTTCAACTTAATTACATGTAGAAGTGTTCTACATAATAACCGACCATGAAAAACGAAACTTCTTCACTAAACTTCTGAATTTTAGTGAAAAATGCTAATACAGAGGCGAAGCTGAGCTTCGCGCCACTTACAATTCGAAAATGAATGACTATGATTGAAATGAAATCAGAAAAAAAAACGATTTTAGTCGAAAAAAAATTGCACAAGCCCAAAATATCCGGAACAAAATTACCTGCACCGTTATTAACTTTACTAAAAACTTTCCGAATGCTAGAATTTAGTCCAACTTTCAAAAAACTCTTTTATGTGGGGACTAAGTCAGCAAAAATAAGCAGACAGACGATAATCTAAAATAACCGAAAACCTTCAATTTGCAAAACAAACAGGTCCCACCTTGAATCGAACTCCTGGGCTTTGTCGTCTCAAGCATCAGTGCTATTACAACTTGGAAGACAGCTGAAAATTCAGAAAAAATCGGGCTACGGGAATCAAGCCGACAAAAATTGAAAGACCGGCGATAGTCCGAAAAACCACAAACCAATTTTGCAAAAAAAAAACAGGTCTACGTCGAATTCGAGCCACAAGCCTTTGCCGTCTCAAGCAGGTGTGCTGACTCTGAGCCACATCATCCGAATAGTTGAAAATAAATTTATAAAAATGTTCAAAAAATTGCTTAAGGGTTTTTTCATTTCAAACTCGAAGCTTTAGAGTGTAAAAAAGGCGTATTAAAAAACGTGTGTTAAATATCCTTTTATCGTGTTATTTTCTTCGAATTTAATTTGATAATCAATTTCATGGAATTTCATGAAAAAAAAACACCCGGCACATAAGCCGACAAAAATTGGGGCGAAATCAAGAAACCTACAAAACTCCTGGGCTGTGCTATTACAACTTGGAAGACAGCTGAAAATTCAGCAAAAAATCGGGCTACGGGAATCAAGCCGACAAAAATTGAAAGACCGGCGATAGTCCGAAAAACCACAAAAAACCAATTTTGCAAAAAAAACAGGTCTACGTCGAATTCGAGCCACAAGCCTTTGCCGTCTCAAGCAGGTGTGCTGACTCTGAGCCACATCATCCGAATAGTTGAAAATAAATTTATAAAACTGTTCAAAAAATTGCTTAAGGGTTTTTTCATTTCAAACTCGAAGCTTTAGAGTGTAAAAAAGGCGTATTAAAAAACGTGTGTTAAATATCCTTTTATCGTGTTATTTTCTTCGAATTTAATTTGATAATCAATTTCATGGAATTTCATGAAAAAAAAACACCCGGCACATAAGCCGACAAAAATTGGGGCGAAATCAAGAAACCTACAAAAAAACAATTTACAACTGAAAAGTTTTTTACCAGTACTTCTAGAAACGCATTAACTCTAGGCACTGTTAAACGCACAACGTATTGAAAAAAGGATCTCGAAATTGGAGATCAACTCGTGAACAAAGTTTTTTACGGGAACAAAAAAAAACGATTAAAATACCATCTACAGTAGCCGATTAAAACTATCAGGGAGTGAATTTTTTCATTTATGATAGGTATGTTCCTTATAAGTTATAAGCATTGTGATGTGGTTACGAACATTTCGTTCGAGAATACAATTTAACATATCGCACATTTTGAACCTTTTACAATAAGTTTTTTTATGAATCCATTTTTATTTTAAAACTGCGAGTGAATTATGATTCCGAAATCACCAAATTTTTAATTTTGACTCAAATGATTTTCAATTTGAATGAACCCCGTCCATAAAAGCAATCACCGGTAGGAATTAGATATTTGGGAACATTTATCGAGCGGCAACTAAGCCGAAAAAACTTGCGTACCCTTTCGAGACGTTTTTCATTTGTTATCAGTTCAGTTTAGTTCTTTTTCTGATCTTTTAGGCGTTTTGTCGCCTTTATCGATCAGCTCATGATGTACTCCTTTTCGATTAATTAGTCTCAAATTTATTAATTCCGCTTTTCTTCCAATGTTTGACCAGGTTGTTCTTGAAAGCGTTTAAGGTCTTCGAGTCAATTACTTCTCCTGGCACCATGTAACAATCTGTAGCTGATCTAATGGTAAAAAAGTTTTTCCGCAATTCGAATTTGGCCTTCTCCATTATCACTTTTTTTTTCATTTGTCCATGTGTCACGATTATTCGATTCGAACATGTCTTTCGTAGCTTTTGGGTCAGAACGGTTGTAACCTATTTTGAAAATTTCGATCATTGTTCCTCACCTTCTGCAGTATTCAAGTGACAATAGTTCTAGTTTCTTCAAATTAATTCGTCTGGAAGTTTCTGAGTCATAATTTTGATTTAGCCATGTACGTTTTGAATATAAAACTAAAAATATTTTGGGACTAAATTTTCAGTGTTAAATCCCTGCTCCTAAACTCATCGCGCGTGTTCAAGCCCGGTTCTCTTTCCTGATATGTATTGCCTCTAGTGTTAGCAATTTTGTTTGGTTGTTTGACCTATCTATAATTTCCCAACTAAGATCTGCGCTATTTCCCTCAAGTTGGCATTGCTGAAGGTGGAGGCCTACCGGTGAGTCGACTTTCTTATGTTCCTTAATTCTAGTGGTCAAATGTCGAACAGTTTATCCGACATAGTTGGAAGTGCATCCACTACATGACAGTTTATGAACCACTCTTGACTTGAGGTCATTAGAAAATGCTGACTTCAAGGATGGTAAACCTGATTCTAGTTTTCTTAGGGTGAAAACCACTTGAACGTTAGTTAATTTTCGTAACCTGTTAGCAAAATATTGGCTCTGGTTACCTCTATATTGCACCATCAGCATTGGAGGCTTCACATCCTTTGGTGATTGAATTGACAAACACCTCTCACTGTCCAGGGTCTGCAGCCACCTTTGCGGACCAATTTTCAGGGTACTGATTTGTCAGCCATAGCGCCCTATTAGTTTTCATAGCCTTATCAAATTGCTCCCAGCTAGATGTACTCCTAAAAACCCTGTGTACAGTGCCTTGGATAACACTACGCTTATACTGAATTGGGCGCAGCTTCTTTAGTTCAGTATAGTCCCTGTATCTGTTGGTTTATGATACCAAATGCAAGTTACACGCCTACCCTGCGATACACTTATGTTCAAATCCAAGAACGGCAAATTCCCCTCCGAATTAGTTTTGTCTAGAGTGAACTGTAGGTTTGGATAAAGAGAATTGGCGGCATCGAGAAGACAACTCGGCTCCCCTCTGACTGTTTTAACAAGGTCATCCACATACCCGAGGAACATTTTCACCTGGAGAGTATCCTTCTCCTTGTTCTTAGCTCGGCAGCAGCTTTCACAGTACCAGACTATCTCGCTTATTGATGCGTATACGTCATCGGATTTTTTTCCTCAATTTAGATGATACAAGTTTCGGCAACTATCGCATTTAACCCCCTTTGATCTATATGTGACTTTCCTGTTGCAACATGGGCACAAGCCGTTTATGTCATTGATTTGCTGCGTATCCGTTCCCACCGGTATTTCTTGTCTTAGACCAAACTCGTACTCTTTCAGCTATAAGTTTGCCAGAATTACAGCGAGGGACGCGCCCATTGCTAAACCATCAACTTGTACATACCATTAATCATTACACTAGAAATACACTTTGCTGACCGCCATATTCAAAAGCCTTTTCATGGTTGCTCTTTGAATTTCGTTAGGAAACTCCTGGCAGTACAGCTTCTGTAAAGCAATTTCAATTGCCTCCTTCAGGGGAACGTTGGTGTACAAACTTTTCACATCAAGAGATATTATGGTTTCATCCGGATCTAGAGCAATCTTTTCAATTTTCTCTCTGGCCTCTTTAGTATTGGTTTCTATATTGGCTCCATCGATGTTGTCAAAAAACTTTGCAAGCATTTTGTTAAGATTCTCATAAGAGCTGCCTGGAAGTGTTATTACTGGTCGTAGGGGTGTCTCATCCTTGTGTAACTTTGTTAAACCGTACAAACGGGCGGGTTGCCCCGATGTTAACCTCATCTTAGAATTTAATTGATCACTTATCTCGTCTCCTTTGTTCATGACTAGTAATTCTTTGTTAAGTTCCTTCTCAATTTTCAGTATAACTTCATCAGTGGTTGCATCTTTTTTCACAAACTGAGCAAATTGCAACAAGGATTCCAGCTTTGATTCATACGTTTGTTTCCTCATTATGCAAAAACCAACCCCCTTAATAAAAGGCACAGCCAGCAACCCATTATCTTTGAGATATTTCCTAGTTTTTTCAACGGCTTTGTCTCTTGGGGTTTGCCTTACGTTTTTTGCATATGCCTTTGCCGCGGCTTCTTTTTCACATAACGTTTCACCAGATGTTTTTTGATTTTTCAATTAAAAGAGAGGAAAACGTCGATATCCGCCGAAATTTGTGTTTTGTTATATTTGTCTCTATTGGAATGCTTCGGGCCCATTGATAGCACTTCATATACCCATCCAGGCAGTTCAATGTTATCAAGTACCTTAACTGATCGCTCATTTCTCCCCCAAGAGGTTTATCTTATCTCTCGGACAATTTTTTCTAATTTTTTTCTATGGTTTTTTGATGTTGTTTTTAAGCTTGCCTCAACTTGACGCCTCACGAAGCGGAATGGATGCCCACCAGTGTTCGTCAATTTTTTTTGCACCAGTACATCTCATTAGCATCTCCTCGTAACTTTTGCTATTCTCATTTGCCCTAGAAGTTTCGGTCCTTAGTAGAATCAATTCAAAATTATGCACAGCGTGGTCCGAAAAAAAACCGTTCTCGGGGACCCTAAACTTCAAAAAGTCCGGTATTAGATCACTTTTCAGACATTTCCTCAAAAAATTTAGTCTATGTACAGATTTTTTAAAGAATTTTAAATAGTCTAACACAATTTTCCAAGTTAGTTTTCTTTTTAAAATTTTTTGAGCCAAAAAGCAGGCAAAAGTACTGTGGTCATTGTTTTGAAGGCCACGAGTAATGAAACTCACAAGGCACAAAGCAAAACAAATCACACTCTTCTCACCCCTGTCTTTGAAGCGCAGACACTTCCTCTGCCTTCAGCTTCTGCTCACGTCTTGCTTTTGCCTTCCTCCTTGTCTGTGATGGTCTCTGTTGTTTGCCCCGGATATTTCCAATTAGCACTGTCAGCCTTTTTTGTGTGCCACTACCAATCGCAGAGATTTCAGCTCCAATTCACCATTCTGGTGCAGCTTCAAATAGTCCTAGGGCTGCTCCGGGTTGTTTTGCTTGCTCTTGAAGAGTAGCCGTTTTGTAGCTGGAATAATGAGCATTCCGGTGCCGAGAAATTGACAAAACAAGTCGGGCGTTTCTTCCCTTCTGCAAAAGATGATCGCCAATATCTGCTGCTTCTTCAACTTCAAACAGTTTGTCAGCTCCTCGACACCGGCTGGGCGATAGTTGTTTGTTCTGTGGCTACTAATAGTGTTGTTCACCACGTCGTGCCACACAACCACTTTTTTCTCCTTCAGTGGACTGTCTTCCAGTAATAGTCGGAGGTTCTTTCTTTGGTTCAGCAAGTCGTTATTAAGGGATAGGTCAGGAATTACTGTAACAAGGCTCTCGTATTGCTTTTTTTCACAAGTGTTAAGGGTGTTGATGCTGTGGAACAGGGAGCTAGCTGCTATAATACGAAACCTTTCGGTGACTCAAATAAAAATCGGCCAAATTTAACGTTTCGATAATAAAACACTATAAAAATGCCCCATTCTTTGATGAAAATCTATAAAAATTTTATACTATACATTCCCTATACTTTGATGAAAGTCACAAAAAATTTTTAGCTTACTGTCTGCAGCCCTTGTACCATTCGTGTCGATCATCGTTGCTCATTTTCGATTAACCTTGTGTTCTTCCTTAATCGCGGGTACCAAGCTTGATTACAGAACTCAAAATGTTCTATCTTTTTTGACCATTTTTTGACCATTCTTCCATTTTTCTTAGATCTTCTTGCTGCAACTCAACGTCATTGTTCCTGATAATTTCTCTGTATAGTTTTGCATCGTCTGCAAAGAAATACAATTTTGATTTGACTGTGTTTGGCATTGAAAACAGGTCCCAGTACAGATCCTTGGGGAATCCCACTCAGAACATCTTTTCAATCAAATCTACTGTCGTTTATTTTAACTCCTTGTCGTCTTGTTAATAAAAACTCTCTGATCCAGCCCAGTGTTTTTCCTTTTATTCCATTTTGTTTTAGGATTCCTATCAGTCTTTTGTGCAAAACCGAGTCGCACGCTTTCTTGAAATCCAAGTAGATAACATCCGTTTCTTGGCGATTATCTGTTGATTTTGTGAAATCAGCCAGCATTCTCAGGTGTTGTAATTGTGATGATCTACTGTGCAGAAAACCAAATTGTTCAATTACAAGGATTTCATTTTTTTTCTAGATGTTCCATAAGATGGTCTCTCATTATTTTCTCAAATATTTTACAACCTATTGATGTTAAGCTTACTGGACGATAGTTGTCAGCTAACAACTTTTACCCTTTTTCAAAGGTATAGGCAATGTGAGCAAGTTTACAGTCTTCAGGTAGCTTTAATTCGTCCCAAGATTTGTTAAAAAATTTTGTTAGAACTTGAGTCAGGAAATCTCTCAATTCAAACAGAAGTTTCGGGTGAATTTTGTCGGGCACTGGAGATTTCGATGTATTGAGTGAGTCTAGTTGCTCTTTCACCAGTTATGATAAGTCGGTTCCTTTTAAGTTATAAACATTGTGATTTGGTTCTGAACATTTCGTTTGAGAATACAATTTAACATATCGCACATTTTGAACCTTTTACAATAACAGTTTTTTTTTATGAATCCATTTTCATTTTAAAACTGCGAATTAATTATGATTCCGAAATCACTAATTTTTTAGTTTTGACTCAAATGATTTTCAATTTGAATAATCCAGTCAATAAAAGCAATTGCCGGTATGAAATTGATTTTCGGAAACATTTATCGAGCGGCAACTAAGCCGACAAAACTTGCGTAAACCCTTTTGACCCGCTGATCATTCAACGAACTTTGTTTAGCCTAATTGTTGTGATAAATTTAAGTTATGCTGAGAGAATTGAGAAGATGTGTCTCATTAGAACTTTATTCATGGGATGATTTACAAAATGATAAAGAAAGTAATTCTAACAATCGCAGAGATGTAAGTCGCACGATTGGAGAGTATGTCTCGTTGTAGTCCACTCCGAAGATTTGAGTGAACCCCTTCGCCACATACCGCGCCTTGTACTTGAGGATCTCTCCATCTGCACCGTGTTTGACGAAAAATGCCACTTGTCGCTGATGATCTTCCGGTTCGCTGGTTTTGGAACAAGTTCCCAAATTTTGTTGTCTACCAGAGAGTCGAATTCCCTTCACCGCTGCTTTCCAAGTCGGATCATCCAGCGCCTCTTGAATGCTATTTGGTACATCCGTCGATGAAACCACCGCTGCCATGCAGAGATGGATCTAATTGTTGAAGATGTCGTTGAGAACGTAGTCCTCCATCCACGCTGGTTTTCATCTCACTTAACCACTTCGTGTTGTTGACTGCTCCGGTTGCTCCACTGGTCGCTGCACCGGCTGTTCCACTGGTTGCTGCACCGGTTGTTCCGACTTCATGATTTGCAGCACCGCCAGTTGCACATCGTCAACTCCTTGTACAGTCGTATCACTTTCTCTTGTAGTACCATCCCCATCTGCACACGCAAGAATTGGTCCTGGTAGAAATAGGGGTTCTGCAACTCCATCCGCACAATCATCATCAGAATTGTAGCCCCCGCTATCGTCTCGATCTCCAGACTGGTTGGTCCTGTGAAGATTGGTTGTCCTGCGTCAAACGTGGTGCTGCGGGTCTGTACCAGCCGCTTTCCTCCTCGATTGTTTGGCACGGCCACAACGTATGCATTTGCGTTTGTCGTATACCCCAGAAAAATTCCTTCGACTGCTTTCGCATCGAGCTTTTTCCGGTACCGTGGTTCCACATACACGAATGCCTTGCACCAAAACACCTTAAGTCCTGCCAGTTGAGCCGAACATCATCTCGAATGGTGTTGATCCGTAAGCGGAGTGTAGACTCCGGTTCTTCAGGTGAAATGCTGCTCGTAGCG